TCTACGACGACGTTGATGATGAGGAAGAAAATGGTGCGGATGATGGTGGACTACAGGGTGACGATGACAGCCTGGCCGATCTTGAGGACTATTTTCTCTACTACCACACGGGAGATATTCTTTTTGGTCCCTCTCCAAGGAACTCCCTTCTGCGTGACTCCCTCCTTACCGGCGTAGAATCTGTTGTGTCGGGTTGCCGGGGTGGAACTCGTACTAGTGAGCGAGTCTCAACAGCCAGACGTGAAGAATGTTCACATCTGGCTGAGAAGGTAAAAAAATTGAAGGCACAGTTGGTTCAGGCACGTGAGAATCGCCTCCAGCGGCGAAATAAGGCGACAGGTGGGGCTACGACCTCTTCAGTTGAAACAGCGGCCGAGATGAAGAGGGAGCAAGATACGAATAACTCCTTGAGTGGACATGAAAAGATGACATCCGGCCAAGCCAGTTCTCCGACTGCAACCTCGACCAAAGTTGCCAGTATGTTTTTCTTTTTAATACTTGTATTCTTTAATGCGCATTTGCACAGCATGTGTGTCTGATGCTTTAGCATAATCTCTCACCACGCATTACCACTCCGAACTAAGAAAATGTGTGACAGGCGACAGCACGAGTTTGGCTACTAAAATGGGAACGTAGACGAGAATTTTCGATTTATTTAGGCAATTGTTTTCACCTTTTATGTGCTAGTCCGTTTGCTTTAAAGTCCCCCATAGGACAAAAAGTCTCTGCAAGGGTTGATGAATTTACCTGACGTTCTGGTCTCGTGCGTGTTGTACCGTATACCGAGTCGTTTGCATTAGGTCAGGGGCAAGTTCGAAGTCTATGCAGCTGCCTGCGTGCATGGAATAAGAATAGTCTCTCAACTAATAATCCAACTCTGTTTTTCATCGTAGGCATTTGTCAGTACTGCATCTTCACTATCATTGCTGTCGTGTTATCCACTTGGAGATCAATAATTTAGCAAAAGTTGTTGAGAGATTGCGAGAACAAGTGTCAGTTCTGGTTTTACTCAGAACTTTTCTCTGTAGGACAGCCAAAGTGAGTTGGAGTGACCTGACACTAAGTGCGTTAAGGTCGAATAAATGTAGGTGAGGTACTCAGCAGTTTAAATTGTGACAAGACTCCCTGTGTTTAGAAGGCTCATGCTGCTTGAGCTTTTGTCACAGGTAGGTTGCTTCTTTCAAAAGAGCTGTTTTTCACGTTCCCTATTGTCAGTCCTTTCATTACCAGATCCCCTTTCCTCTTGATCTTGATAAGTGGACATAATCACTTTCGAAATTGCGTTCCTGGAGGCAGTGTACTCAGTCTAACTGTCTTAAATATGAACAACAGCTTCTACCAACTCCATTTTACCAACAAGCTTTTAACGCCGCAAACTAAACGGAAAAGAAGTAATACGTGGCTTTGTTTATTTTGCAAAGCTTTACTGTATTTGTTCAATCTGGTGCTTGCACAACCATTTTAGGAAGGTGCTATGACTATGTCAGCCTAAATAGTTAAAATCTTATATATGTTAGTCGGTCTGAGAGCCTGCACAGCGCGAAAACTCGCCAAAACCTATTCCGAAGGGCCATCAATGCGTAATTAGGCAGTGTTGACTACATCTCAGAAGAGTCTAACAGTCATAAGATTAATCCTACACGGGTTTATTGATCAAGAAGTCGGACAAAAACATGACCCCTGCTATTCACTTTGACAGCTGCGCTGCAACCATATGATTTAGTGCATGAGTTCATGACTATGCAGCCGATTTCTTCGGGAGGCCGATTATCTGACTCTGTGTTTCTGTTAGTAGTTTTGTTGGCTTCTAGTAGTTGCTCAAGAAATGTGCACTAGTCGGGTTTTCGGACCTCTGCAGCAACTAAGTGCATTTAGTTGACAATTTGAGGACTTCAGCATGTTGAAAGGGCGAGTATTAAGTGCAATTGTGTTAGACTAGAAAGCCGATTTCTGCCCCAGGTGTTTGGGCAACAATATGACGGTAGTCTTTGTGCAGTTCTTACTCCTACTAAGCCAGTGACTTAAAAAATGCTAGGCGACAGCAGTCGTCACAAGGTGCTAATGATGTCAAACAATACTGTTCATTTCTCGCAGTCTGTGGCATATCGATTTGTTTCCACCATCTCGAATCCATCATTCTAGTGCTTGATAAAGTTAGTAGTCTGTAGTAGTTGATTGGCTTAACATAAATAGCCGATTCCAGAATCTACGACATACGTCGCATGCGCTCATGGAGGTCCGCTGTATCGCCGACCTGAAGGGTCGTTCCTAATCTGAAAGTAAACTGGCGGTCAATAACATCCTGTTGGAGGGTGAACAACATTCACCAAATCATATTGCCGCTTGAGTTTGTGATCGTACGGGCAGTTGATCTTTTGGTTGTCTTGGCTAGTACTTGGCATTTGGAGTGACGGGATAGTGGAAAGTGTTCAGTTCTAGTGGCCTCTTAAAATGTTTTTTTTTAGCACTCTCATTCAGATGGCGTCCTAGCCGTCCCAACATTTTATAAAAAACCTCGTGCATGTTCGCGGGACTAGCTTGTATGTAAATTTAGTTGACGGTCTCCTTACCTCTGTCACCCATTACGTTCGAGCCCACATCTGTTCGTCCTGACTCTAGCTTCTCACAGGAGCCAGCTGTGTGCTGAAGAAACTGCGGTTAGTGTTGCACAAGTCTCCTATGACTATATACCAAATCACGCGTAATTTACCGGTCAACCCCTACCTTGCCGTGGAACATGTGAGGGATTCGGACACATGCGACGGACGAACTGTCCATTACATTTCTAG